TCAGCCACCTGGTTGCCAACACACCTGAGGCCATTGTTGATGTTCCCCAACATGTTCCAGCACACACGTGACAGCAGGTCTGTGTGCCACTTTGGTGGCCTTGGATGACAGGACACCAGCAGCCAGATGGGAACTCTGCTGCCCTGGCTCTGGGACTGCTTGTTGCTGGTTAAAATGCTCTCCCAGGAGCAGTTCCACAGGGAGGAGTCATTGTCACTGAGGTGAGACCCACGCAGCCGTGGAGCTGCCCACTGAGCAGAGCTGAGAGGAGGAACTTAAGGGCAGCAAAAGTGTACCTAAAGGATAATAAATTGCCAGTGCTCTGACTGAGGGAATCCCTTTAGAGCTGAAATTGAAATTCAGGCCCATAGGCAGCTCTTGATGCTCCATGTCCCACTGGAGGCAGTGTGCTGTGCTGGCCTGTGCCCTGAGGCAGCTGTGTCCAGCCACACTGACAAGGAAAGGGCTTGGTGCTAAAGGGGAATGATGGAACTGTGATAGGCTGAGGAATCTTAGGAAGGACAGCAACTTTCTCCAACTGAAATGTGTCAGAACCCTCCTGTGCATCATTAGGTAGGACTAACACAAACCCAGGTGAGTGTCAGTATTTATCACACAGATCTGAGTTATAAAGTGCCTGCTGTGATGGACAGACCATGTCACACCACTGAGAGACTGCTGGTGGCAGGAGCCTTTTCTCTGCATGACTACACACTGTAGGGCTTCTTGAGCTTCATCACCTTTAATGACTGTAACTCGTTAATGGCAGAGGGTTCAGAAAAGTGTTATCGTTCTCCTCCATCACCTTCTCACAAAAAATTTGCTGTTAACAATGGTATTTAATACTGCTTTGAGTCTAATACATGGAGGACAGCTTAGCAATTAGAAAGAAGCAGAACTAGTTTTAACCTTCCTGCCTAGAATTCGCCACAGGCACGAGAATGAAATCAAATGTAACATTTCCCCAACAGAGATCCACAGTTCCCTGTGTTGTTCAACATCCAGCCCTGTGTCAGAACAACTTGTTCATGAAACACATTGTCAGACACAGTTAGAGCCCTTTCAGCAGATAGCTGTGGCAAGTCAGAACATCCCAGGAAAGACTGGCTGCAGGCACAGGGATGCCTGTGGAAAGGAAGTCCAGGCAGGTGATTCCATTGGCCCCCTGAGGCCTGACATTTAAGAACATATGAAAGATTTCTAAGGACTACTGTGGAGTTTCAGGGCCATTAAAGCAGCTGCTACTGCCCTCTTGAGAAGCTGACATCCCAGTTAACGTGCTGGGAAAGGGAGGAGGAGAATATTATAGTTCCCCAAGCCCCGTAAGGCAGTGCTGCTGCCGGGAGCACAGCCTCACTCCCTGCCCCAGCTGCTGCCGCTCACATCTGCACCAGCACTGGCGTTTGTGAGGTGATGTGGATGTGATCCAGATTCAGTCTAACCTGGCAAAACAAGCCCGCTCAGTTCACCCCATCGGGTCACTGCTCAGGCTCACTCTGCGGCCTCGTGAGAGCCGGGGCCAGCAGCAGCCAGGGGCAGGGAACACGCAGCAGGGACAGGTGGGATGGCTCCTGGCAGGGACAGGTGGGATGGCCCCTGGAAGCAAGCTGCTGGCTCTGGGGGGCTCTGGGTGAGGGGCTCTGCCCTGTTCTCCTGGTACTATCCCTGTGCTGGCACCTGTGCAGGCTCACACTGATGCTTGGGGCAGCCACGGTGGCCTGACCAACCTCAGCCAGAGAACTTACAGCTGCTTCCACGCTGTTGTCTCTGCTGCCCCTGAGCTCAGACAGAGCCATGCCCCAAGGACAGGGCTGACAGCAGCGGGCAGGCACAGACCTGCCACCTTCACCCCTTCTGAACTGAACCCCAGCACCAGCCCAGAGACTCCCCTGCTGTTGCAAAATGTGGAATATGTCAAGATTATTTTAAGTCAGGATGTTCTGTGTAAGGTCTTTGTATACTTTCAAGCCTAATGAGCAAGAAAGAAGACCTGATCAATGGAGCAGGCAGCAGGAGCACCCCCTAGCCATGGACAACCTGGAGCTAACAAGCTTTAAGGATGTAGTTAATCAAGATGTTGATGTATGTCTATGTATACATTGCTAACTTCTATGACAAGGTGACCCACCTGGTTGATCAAGGGAAGTCAGTTGATGTGATCTTTTGGGATTTCAGTAAAGCTTTTGTTACTGTTACTCTCTCTCCTGTGCTGGGTGAGCAATTGGCTCAGGGGTCGGGCACAGAGGGTGACAGTGACTGGGGTGACATGAGGCTGGCACCTGTCACTACTGGGGTTCCCCAGGGCTCCATCTGGGCCCTGTGCTCTCCAACATCTCCACCAATGACTTGGACACGGCACTGGAAGGGACATGGAGCAAGTTTGCAGATGACCCAAAACTGGGAGGGGCTGTTGAGCCCCTCGAGGGCAGGGAGGCCCTGCAGAGAGACATGGACAGGTCCGAGGGCTGGGAATCACCACCCATGGGAAGTTCAACAAGGGCAAGTGCTGGATTCTGCCCCTGGGATGGGGCAACCTTGGATGTATGGACAGAGTGGAAATGAGAGGCTGGAAAGCAGTGCTGGGAAAGGGCCCTGGGGGTCCTGGTCGGTGGCCACTTGGCCCTGAGTCAGCAGTGCCCTGGCAGCCAGGAGGGACATCCCTGTCCTGGGGCATCAGGGAGGGACTGTCCCGCTCTGCTCTGCCCTGGGGAGGCCTCACCTTGAATATTGGGGCAGTTTGGGGGGACAGAATATAAGGAAGATGTTCAGCCATCAGAGAGTGTCCAAAGGAGGAAATGAAGGTGGGGAAGGGCCTTGATTTGAAGCCGTGTGAGGACACTTGGTGTGTTCAGCTGGAGCAGAGGAGACTGAGGGGAGACCTCACTGCAATTAAAACTCCCTGGGCAGGGGCAGAGGAGGGGCAGGGATTGAGCTCTGCTCTGGGGGGACCAGGGACAGCACCCAGGGAATTGTGTCAGGGGGGTTTAGGCTGGGTATTACAAAGAGGTTCTTCCCCCAGAGGGTGGTTGGGCACTGCCCAGGCTCCCCAGGGCAGTGGGCACAGCCCCAAGGCTGCCAGAGCTCCAGGAGGGTTTGGATGATCCTCTGGGGCACAGGGGGTGACTCTTGGGGATGGGCCTGTGCAGGGCCAGGAGCTGGACTCGATGGTCCTTGTGGGTCCCTTCCAACTCAGCATATTCTGTGATTCTGTGAAAATACTCAAGGTCCTTATATCCTGTAGCTGAACCATGTTCATTATACTACTAAAAATCATGCCTGCAGGTCAAAAAGACCTCTGGGTTACATAACTTGTATGGAAATGACTAACCAGTCCTAAGAGAGGGGCTGTACTTGGGAAGTTTCTAACTCTGAATTTCTGTGTGTAAATAATGCCACACAGAGTCTGGAGGGGTGCGCTGGATTTGTGGAATACCACTGGGCACCCAGGCCTGCGCAGCTCTGGAATAAATAAACTTACTGACCTTTACTTCCACTAGGCAGACGATCATATGCAACACCAAGAATAGGACTAGGTGCTTCCTTTCTCAAGGAAAGGTGGTGTCAGACACGTTCAGGCCCCCAGTTCCAGCATCAGGAGCCGAGCTCCAACACTGAATAGGCCCAGGGATTGCCACAACACAAAAGGTTCCAAGTGAGAAAGGAAACACTGAGGCTTGGTGCTGTCCTTCCCATGGAAAAGCACTGTCATTCCCATTCAGGGCCTCACCACCAAAATTTATGATACCACCTCCAATACTGAATACATCCGAGGATTGTTCGCACACAAAAGGTGCCAGGACAGAAAGGTCTTGCTGGCCTTTACCCCCATGGGGCAGATGATCATCTGCAGCAGCAACAGGAGGAATAGGTGTTTCCCTTCCCAAGGAAAGGTACTTTGATTCACTTTCTGGACCCAACCCCTGCAATTTGGAGCCAAGCTCCAAATCTGAGTATGTCCAGGGATTGCTCCTGCACAAAATGTGACAGGTCAGAAAGCTGTTGCTGGCCTTCACTGTTTGTTGAGGAATACATTTAGTCCAGGTAGCTCAGCTTGCAAACTGCAGATTGGGATGAAGATTGAACTCTGGGTGGGAGCAAAGAAGCTGTGAACTGAGACATACAGCAGGAGCTGGGAATTGCTGACCTTTTGGATAACAAAGGAGATGAAGACCGGTCACGACAGCGAGGGGGATGGCCACAGACAGGGCAGCAGGAGCCAAAGACTTGGGAGGAAGAGCGAGACTTACACAGGTAGACAGTGAGGGTATAAAAACCCAGGGGTTCCTTGGTTGGGGGAGCTCCTCAGAGGCACCAGCTCAAGGTGTTTCTGTGTTACTGTGCCATGAATAAACTGCTTTATGGAATGAGATATCTGAGACTGCCATGGGAAACCTGGTCTGGGTGTGTGTGTGTGTGTGAGGAGCCAAGCGAGACCTGTCAGGTCACGGTGAAGGAGCTGCAGTGCCAGCAGTGAAAGTCCCTGGCCTTTGGGAGCGTGACTGCCAGGGAGGCTCGGGAACGGCCAGAGCGGGGATCCCCCTCAACACTCACCTCCCGTGGGCAGCCCATAACCCGCACCCGAAACACTGGGGGACGGCGCTCTCCTTCCCACGGAGACGCAGTTACATTAATTACTCTCTCCACCGTGTCATTATCGGCTTGTTGCGCAGCGGGGAGCGAACCCTCTTCTGAGCGGTAGCGCTGCTCTGCGCGCCCCCTCCCGCCATCGCCGCCATTCCCGCACTGCCCCATCGCCGCCATTCCCGCACTGCCCCATCGCCTCCATTCCCGCACTGCCCCATCGCCTCCATTCCCGCACTGCCCCATCGCCGCCATTCCCGCACTGCCCCATCGCCGCCATTCCCGCACTGCCCCATCGCCGCCATTCCCGCACTGCCCCATCGCCGCCATTCCCGCACTGCCCCATCGCCTCCATTCCCGCACTGCCCCATCGCCGCCATCGCCGCCGTCCCTCCGTCCCCCGGCGCTTCCCGCGGAAGGGGAGGGCGGCGGCGGCGGAAGCGGCGCCGGGGACTGATGGCGGCGCTGGCGCGGGCCCTGGTGAGCGAGGGAAGGAGGGAGGGAGGGGGCGAGCGGCGTGTGGGGCCGGGGCCGTCCCCCCGCACCCCGAGGGGTGTCAGCGGGGGCTGCCCCCGCCGCCCTCCCCTCAGCCCCGCGGTGGTGTCTGGCGAAGCAGCGGGTCGAGCTTTTCCCCGCAGAGTTTGTGTTTGCAGAAGGGTTGCTGAGAGGCCGGAGCATGTCCAGAGAAGGGCAGAGGAGCTGGGGAAGGGTCTGGAGCACCAGGAGCTGCTGAGGGAGCTGTGAGGGAGAAAAGGAAGCTCAGAGGGGACCTCCTCGCCCTCTCCTCCTCCCTGACAGGAGGGGGGAGCCGGGGGAGGTCGGGCTCTGCTCCCAGGGGACGAGGGACAGGGCGAGAGGACACGGCCTCGAGCTGTGCCAGGGGAGGGTCAGGTTGGACACTAGGAGGAATTTCTGCACAGAAAGAGCTATTTAGGCATTGGGATGGGCTGCCCAGGGAGGCGGTGGAGTCACTGTCCCTGGAGGCGTTTAAGGAAAGACTATTCATGGCACTCAGTGCCATGGTCTGATGTTGGGTCATCGGTTGGACTTGATCATCCTAGAAGTCTCTTCCAACCTAATTCACTCTGTGATTCTGTCGTGTGAGGGTCTGGGCTCCTACTTGGGGCTGGAGACACGTGTCTGTCAGTGTGGGGCTCCTCTGGGCTCAGTGTGTTCTCTTCCTCGAGTTTCCCTTCTCATTTCAGGTGTTTGATACCAAGGATGATGTAAAGATTCCCATTCCTGTGTTACTGATCAGGCCCTGGCACAGGTAGCCCAGGGCAGTGGTGGAGTCACCATCCCTGGAAGTGCTCAAATGCCAGGTAGATGTGGCACTTGGGGACACGGGTTAGTGGTGGACCCGGCAGTGCTGGGTTGATGGTTGGACTCGATGGGCTTTTCCAACCCTAGTGATTCAAATTGGAAGAGTTTGGGTTCCTGTGAATGAGTGGATTTCTAATCACTCCACTCTTTTCTTCTTTCCCATACATTCGTGTGCACTTTTCTTTCTATTGGCCTTTAAAGTCTCTGCAACAGAGCTCTTCTAGACTAATATATAGTCTAGAAAAGGGAATTTTGTACCTGGGTCTGATCTTATGCCACCACACAAATACAGGGATGGCCAGTGCTGCTAAGTGGGGAGAGATTTCCCAGGAACAGGAAAGGCCTTTGGCCAGAGGGCAATCTCCACTTGTGAAATGAATCCACCAAGTTCTCAGTGCTCAGGGTGTGGTTTTCACCGGCACAGTGAGCCCTGTCCTTTCCACTCTCAAGGTGAAAGAAGCCAAGCACAAACCTGCCCGAGTGCAGCTGAAGTGGAGCGAGCTTGAGTTCCTGCTTCCTCCTCCCATCCCTGTCCTTTATGCTCCTGTCCTTGCTCTGTTGCCTGCAATTGCTTCCTCCAGCATTTTTCTTGGCCCCTATGATCCAAATTCTGAAGCAACAAAACAGTGTCAACATAAAAACAGCTTTGTGGAGTTTTAAAGCATTAAAGAGGCAGTGGCCAGAAGACAGGGAGGGGGAAGCCAGGCAGGAGGGGAGCAGGGAGAGCAGTGGGAAAGCAGTGAGGCACCAGATGGGTTCAGCTGCCCGCGGAGCCGCACCCCCAGGGCAGGGTTTGCACTGAAAACCTGCTTCTGAAGGGGAAGGACTTGCCTCCTGGGCTTACCTGTCCCTAGGCAGCTCCTTGCCCAGCTGCTGCTGGCATTCATGTGGCAAAATGAGCTGATTCAGTTTTTCAGCCCGAGCAGACATTACTCATTGGAGGGGAGGAGATGGAGTTATTTGCCATTTTGTGATCTGAAGTGCACTGTGCTTCAGCTCAAGCACTGCTCATCCCTGGCACCTCCCAGCACTTTTTGCTGCGTTTGAATTTAGTGGTTGCCTGCTTGTATAAAAGTAAATCTTCAAACTTTCCCTGTCTCTTCTTTCTACTGGAAATAAGGAAAATTACTTTTGTTGTCTGTCTTCAAGCCTTCTTTGGAGCTCCTGGTGTGTGATATCGTCCTGATGATCGTCCAGGCATTTCAGCTCTACTCACTAATACTGCCATTAGGATAAAGCTGGTTTTTACCCGAGGGATCTTGACAAATAGCTTGTCTGCTACCTAAGACTTTCCTAATGATTGCCAAGAGCATTTAGAAGACCATACAGTGATATTCTTCCACCACCATCTTGACAAGGCAGATGTCTGCAGGCTGTTCCTGAGTAATCCTGTTCAGTTTAGGCTTGCTCCTTTTTCTCTCAGCCAAGCAAAAGTATCACTTGTAATTTGAAAAGAGGGTTGTGTTCTGCAAACGGTGATGCTGGCTTAGACAAAATTCTTTAGCTCCTCGTGTTCCCTGCTTTCTGCTGGTGTCTGTTTTCTTTGTTACTGGATTGTTTATCACATCTCAGCTTTTCAGTGTGCATATGCTTATTTTATGCTTTCGTATGTCTTTGTCCAGTTTTGTTGCAGTTGCGCTTTTCAACAGCTATAAACCACAGTATGTTCAAGCTCTAAGCCATATCCCAGTCTGGGCATCTTTTCCTTCTTATTACAGAGAAAAAGTCTCAAAAAAGTTCTGTCAGATGCTTGGAATCTTGTAATAATTGATTATAAAAAATGGTGACTTCTTTCTCACTGAAGTCTTTGTTAAACTGTTTCTGTCAGGGCACTGGGTTACCTCAAGAAGTACTTTGTGGTACTGAACTGAAATGGTTTTTTTGGATAGAAATCTATTGTTTTCAAAATCTCACTTGCTGAGCAGTGATGTTACATTGAAAAAGCAGAAATTGAGTGATCTTGCTACAGTTGGAAATGAAGCTGTTTTTATTAGATAAAGGCAATCCCTTCTAATAATGTATACATTACTTCCAGTATTAGTGTAGTGCGTGTATGAAGGAGGCAAATATTGTACTAACTTGAATATTGCAGAAAATGAAAGATGCAAAGAAAGTGCAGGCAAAGAAAATTCCAATTCTTTTCCATATTACTGGCATTTTCATAAGAGAAAATAATTATCTTCACTGAAATTTATTGGGACAATATGTGCTTTTGAAATACTAAAATTCTTAGCCATGCCTGAGTAAAGTAAGACAAAGATGCATAAAAGCTGTGAGTTGGATGGGGGCTTTTTGGAGCTCACTCTGTCAGTTGAAGAATGCTTCTTGAGCATTTGAATTTATTGTATAGACTGAAAAATTGTGGTGTGGTTTTGTGATGTAGACAGCCCACTATTTCCTTCCACTCATCTGTTTCTGCCATCAGACTTGGGTTGGATACTTGTACTGGAAGGCAAAATATTTTTATAATCAAAATTTATACTCCTGTCAAGCACAAGTTGGGAGTTGAATCTAAGGATTGTTAGAGTATCCTGAGCTGGAAGGGACCCACAAGGATCATTGAGTTCAACTCTGGCCCTGCACAGACACCCCAACAATCCCACCCTGTTCCTGAGAGCATTGTCCAAACCCTCCTGGAGCTCTGGCAGCCTTGGTGCTGTGCCCACTGCCCTGGGGAGCCTGGGCAGTGCCCAACCACCCTCTGGGGGAAGAACCTTTCCCTGAGATCCAACCTGACCCTGCCCTGACACAGCTCCTTGTTGTTCTTGTTGTATGAATGAATAAAACTTGTGGAAGCAGAAGGGCAGTTAAACTGTTTCTGCATGTTTGGGTCCTTTTCTTCATTGCTGCTGTCCCTGTTGCAGAGCTGCCAGACTGGAGTAACTCAGTGGATAACAGGATGCAGTGGATTGCTCCAGACCGCCGCAGTCCCGGGCCAGTGTAGACGGATGCTCTGCAGTATTTTCCAGGTATGATATCAGAGCATGTTAAACTGTGTAAACAAAAATGGAATGAGCTTAAATTGCTAAGAAAAAGTCATGTTTTTTCAATAAAGAGTCTTCTAAAAGTCTTTGCTGTGTACTGCTGAAATATCAAGGCAGCTCTAGAGCTCTCTGCTGCAAAAAGGGTGAGCTCCCACTCTTTGTTACAGGTCTTCATTCCGGCTGTGTCTTTTAATAGATCTAAGTTATTTAATTATTTAATAGATCTAAATGATCTGTCTTGAGGAGATTAAGTACAGAAGTCCAAATGTAGGTGTCATTTTTCCAAAGCAGCTTTTACAATCCAGTCACAATTGGACATAATTTCCAGCACCTTATTTTCCAGAACACTTTACTTTATAGAGTGTCTCCACTGGACAGTGGCCTTAGACTTCCTAGTACTGGTGGATGTTTACCTTGCTGAGCACAATATTTAGTGTTGTCCAAGTGGAAGCTCTGCAGTTTGGCTTCCAGCTGTGTGACAGCAGGCACAGTGCCAGGGCGTGTCTGTCCAGAGTAAATCAACTGGAGCATCATGTGGTAGCAGTTCCTGAGAAAGGGGTGAAAAAGGTGTAGAAAATGGAGAGATGCCGGCTCTCAGAACAGAATCAGAGTCTGTCTCCTGGTGTTTCCTTCCTGCATTCAATAAAACACGAGGGGGTTAAGCCTCTTCTTCATCTTCCTTTATATCACAACTCGTGCTGTAGAGCCATGACATTCAGAATTAGAAATTCCCTGTAAGCTCTTTGGCTTGAGTGTCTTTTCTCAGAGAAGACCTTCCAGTTCTAGGAAAATTGCTGACACAGCTCTACTATTAAAGCACAGTAGTGCAAGTGATGTTATAGCAAGTAACATACGGTGCTTGGAGGAGAGAGAGAAATGAGCAGTTGTGAAGTCATTGATGAAGTTGGTCTCAGTCTGAGCCACCAGTACATTCAATACCTGTCTGGAGGTGACTGCTCTGAACAGCATGTTTAGTTTGAGTTAATTTATAAACAAGGCACTGCTAAGCTGGGGGTGCTGGGAGGCTGGAAGGGGTGTTTTGTTCAGGGTGCAGCTTCTTTCCTGGGGAGCCTGCTCACTCCTGCTTGAGAGTTTTCTCTGTTGTGCAGTAGCTCTGTGATACAAGTCATGTACTCTGAAGTTATAGTGGTTGTAGTGGTAGCTTTTACCCTGTAAATTGTGTTTTCTCAGGTCCTTCCACAAAGACAATTGAATGGGCTATGAAGTTGTAGACAAAAATATCGTAAATTCTGTTTGTCTGCAAGGTCAGGAAAAAGAAGTATTCTTCATTAAAAGACAAAACCATAATTAAAAGTAGTGTAAGCAAGTGAAAGCAGACAGCCTGTGGGTTTTGAGTGGAGTGTTCTGCCAGTCCATTCCATCAGTACATTTATGGAACACTGGAAAATGAATGGTGTGGAGTGTCAAGCATGGACAGCTATTTTGTTTGTAACAGTTATGGTAATAAATTTGTGGGTTTTTTGATATAAAGTTTTTCAGGATTAGCCAAAACTAATTAGCAAACTAAGGGTGATTGGTGTAAAGTGACGTCAATGATCTCTTAATTTTTTCCTTTTCTTTTCTTGTATCATTTTTACCAGAGACACAAGGCTGGCCCCTTCCGACTGTCCAGGTTCTGTCGAGGATTGATTCAAGCCAATGGAGCCACCACGCAGCAAAACAGATCCTTTTACAATACAAATAAGGTGAGAAGGGCTGGATGGTTTTATTGTTGGAGGGCACATGTGCTGGGGATTATACAGGGACAGGAGGCAAAACACTGCTCAGAACATGTAGGAGAGGACTCAGCTTTTCTCTAAGATATTTTAGTGTGGTGAGAACAATGGGTCCAGTCATTTGAGAAGGAATTCTGTTCCTTTCCAGAAAATGAGGGGCTGGCATAGGAAGGTGCAGTTACAGCTGGGTTATAAGGATGAAGGTTCCAGTGATAATCCTGAGGGCTTCCTTCCAGTGAGGAAAGAAACTAAGTCAAGGGGAATAGTTACTGGTGTGGAGAGCAGATGTTCCTTCCATACATATTAGAAGCGACAGGATGGTTTCTGATTCTTTAGCTTGGGAATAAAGTGTGATGACAGTTTTGGTATCTGCTAAACACTGAAAATTGTCATGCAATCTACTAATAACAGCTAATTATTGTCTAATAATTTATTTACTGTTCACCTGTACTATTTTGTTAATCTGTGGTCTATGTATCTTGTGCATTCATTGTATTTTGTCTTGGAATAGAAGTTTTCTGGAGTTGATTCAACTCCATAAGATTAGTTTACCACTTAAATTACGGGTGTCAGCATCCCTTAACTAATAATTATCCTGATTTGGCTCTTGTTAAGCCAGTGTGAAGAAAATGGCAAAACGGAATGCATGCCTGAGAAATGATAGGACAGAAGAAAGAAGAAAGTTAGGGATTGATGGGTAAAACTTCCATGAAAGCAGCAATCCCAGTTTGCTATCTACCCAGTAGTGTATTTTGCTGGTGTAGAGTTAGAGGTACATGCTAAGAAGGATTTAGAATTAGTTATTTTGACGTGATAGAAGAAATGAAGGAAAACAAGGAAATGTGTGCAAGGAAAGAAGCCCTGGTTTCTCTTTACGTTTAGTTCTTAACTAGAGGTTTTCCTATCTTTAGTCTATTTTTCGGTGTTTTTCAGCTAGTGAGACAAACCAAACATCTTGCAGACAGGGAGACTGAGGCATGTCAAAAGGGGTTGCACAATTTATCGTGGCCAGAGCTAAAGGTGTAATCCAGGCTCCCAGACATGGTGCATCCCCCAGTCCCTGTTCCTGCCTGCACTGCTCTCTGATACCCACACAAGCAGCATTTGCAGAGCAGATCTGGGAGAGCAGTGGATGACCAGATAGCAGATCCAACAAACCAGGAGTGGCATGGAGATCTTCAAGGCAGGACTCAAGACTTGCTTTTGATGTATTGGAAAGGACTAGGGGAGGGGTCCAAGGGTTGAAAGATGAATTGGGAAACTGGTTAAAATAGCCTTGGTGTAAGAAGCCAGGCAGGATTTATGACCAGAGAGGAAGCAGTTTACAGCAGAGTAGGTTTGAGGTGGGTTTTTGGACAGCAACTTCATTATTTTGAATAGAGAAGTACTTACTCATCTTTGAAATGTGAACTTGACTGTGCACTCCTGGTGGGAAAGTGGTTTGGAATTGATGGTGAGCCCCAGATGTTTCAGTTTATATTTGGTGTCAAAATTAAGAAGATTGTTTGCTTTAAGCACTGCATTGGGCAGGAAAGGCAGCCTGAGGTGGGCTTATCTCCTTTACAGTGTCTTGATGAGCTTGTTTTTAGTGAGTTATACAACATATTTTTGAAGTTTTCTCTCTGTGTGTCATGGTTTAAGCCCAGCTGGCAACTAAGCACCACTGAGCCACTCACTTGCTTCCCTCTCCTTGCCCTGATGATTCCTAGGTCTGATTTTATAGATGTTATAGGACTGTTTAGTTGCACTTGGCTGAACCAAGCACTCCCTGCTTAAATCCCCTCTCCTGAGCTAGTCCAGGCTGACTTGCAGAGGAATGAAGCAAGAATCATGGCATTTCTTAGGAAAAACCTGCTTGCTGGCCAGACGAGATAACAGCAGTTGAATTGAGATAATTTTGGTTTTTAACTTCCTCTGTGCAATGAAAGACCTGTGCTGAGGGAGGCTTCATAATGCACGTGTACATAAGAGGCCTGTGGTGAAGTTCTGCCTGGATTCTCTAGAGGTTCAGTGTGATTGTAGTTCCTGTGGAGGAGATGAAGGTTGATTTAGTGAGTTTGGTGTGGCAGTGGTTATTGGACACAGGTTCTGCACTGAGCAATTCCTGTCATTGCCTGGCTGGGGGGGGATTATGCAAGGTTAGGAGTCTTTTGTAGTGTAGAGGAGAGTATTGCGTGGGATATTCTTGAAGAGGAGGTGCTGAAAATTGGTTTAAATATTCACATACTGCCAGTAGACTCAGGGGGTCCATCACATGTGGCAGGGGCTGGGATGAGCCTTTGCAGACACTTTTGTTCTGGGTGGTGAGAGGGGACACGGTGAACAGTTTTGACAATCAGAGAAGGATCTGAGTATCCCAGGAGGTCCTGGGCAGTGTGACACTGTCTGACAGGGTGACTGACAGATGCTGAAGTGGTGCTTAGTGTGTTTCTCCCTGTTTCCCTGGATACTGGACATGGTGGGGTTTGAGCCTTTAACAGTGGACAGTACACAGGGGCGAAGTGTTTTATCTCAAATGCTCAGGCCTGTCTGTGGATTATAATCAGGGATGCATTAGGTCTCAAAGCTACAGTTTTTGTCACCTTTACAGTTAGTTTTTAATTAAGTATAGCAACTTGTGCAGGATATGGGTCTATATTTTAATATGCATTTATGTGTCATTCATACCATTTCAAAAATCATTATACTAGTGCTAGGAAGGCTATAGAGAATGATCAGCAATGGGAAAAGCTTTCTGTATGAGAATAGGCTATTTTAGGACCCTTCTAAATTAGAGGGATGGGCATGTGTATGATACTGGCCTATAAAAGTCATAAAAGACTGAAAAGTGGAATAGAAAATGGTTGTTTGCAGGTTCTTATAGGAAAATTGGGAGCATCCAGGGAAATCAGTCATAGAATAGTTTGGGTTGGAAGGGACCTTTAAAGATCACTAGTCCAAATGACAAGGCTGGATTTAAAACAGGCACAGTTTTTACATTAAACCCTGAAACCTCAGCGTACCACACCTTCGTGTTATGGAGGTTAAACAGTTTCAAACACTGGAATACTGAGGGTGCATCCAATTGGAGCTGCCAAAAATGACCGGATACATTTTCTAGTGCGGGAATGTCTGTCAGAAGCTGGACAGGTACACCCCAGGAAGCTTGGGGGGGGTGTGCTGTTTCTCTGCTTTCCTGTCTTCTCCAAGGAGCTGCTCCTGCTCCTTGTTGGAGTTGGCAGCCTGGTCTCATTGTTCTGGCCACGTGTGGCAGCCCTGGTGATGCTAAATTGCTTCCTTGCTAAGAAAATCCTTTTCTTAGTGTGTTGATGTGTTAGGAGGAAATGCTTAGGGTAAAATGCCAGCAGCTTAAAACAGTTTAATATTTCTTTGGTCAGGGAACTTTCTCAGATTGTAATGGCTCTCAGCTGTGTTTCCTCGAGTGTACGTAGGAGATTCACGTGCAAAAAATGGGTTAAAAATAGAGTAATTTGTTGATAGCTAAAGGTCTATACTGCAGAGTTAATTCATGGAAATCATTTGCTGGAGTACCAGTGGTAATTCCTGATGGCTGATTGCTGCTGCTAGGGTGCTCAGAGGGAGAATGCCAGGGAGTTTTCTTACCAGTTGTGCTCATTTGGGTTGGGGTAGTGTTAATTTTCTTCCCAGTAGCTGGTATGGGCTGTGGTTTGGATGTGTGCTGGAAACAGTCCTGATAACAGGGATGTTTTAGTTCCTGCTGAGCAGGGCTGGCACAGAGCTGAGGCCTTTTCTGCTCCTCACCCCACCAAGGGAATAGCTGGGGGTGCACAAGGATCCCATCTGACCCCAGGGATGTTCCAGACCGTGTGGCATCATCCTCACACCCAGAGCTGTGGGGAGGAGGAGGAAGGGGAGATGTTTGGAGTGATGGTGTTTGCCTTCCCAAGTCACCATTACTGTGACTGGCTGTCCTGGGGATGGCTGAACCTGCCTCCCATGGGAAGGGGGGAATGAATTCCTTGTGCTGCTTCGCTTGTGTGTGTGGTTTCTGATTAACTAATTAAACTGCATTTACCTCAACCCACGAGTTTTCTACTTTTACCCTCACAGTTCTCTCCCCCATCCCCAGTTGCCCCTGGGGTTAAGCCACAGCATCAGCCCAGGGGTGTTTAAGGTGTAGAATTGGTCTGGAAGAGAATATTTATCTTCATGTTTGCAAGCACTGCGAGTCCTTGGGGAATAAATGCTTTCCTGATCTAGGTTTTCTGCAAGTACCACATTGTGTAGCTGAAGGGGAATAACAATCTGAGGGAGCTTTTTGGTGAGAACAGTGGGTTTGTGTAGCTTCACTGGTTTTAAAATGGAGCTGATGGTTTCTATAACGTGTAATTACTCTAGGATATGATATGCCTGTGAGAGGAAGAGAGGGAATGTAAAAGGTTTGCTTTATTTACTCTCTCCCTGTGATTTGTTTGCTTGTTTTTTGTGCAAAAAACTTAAACCCAATTAAAAACATGGACCTAGAAAGAATATGGGAGTCTAGGATAGGAGCCATATTTTGGAAAGCAGGCTTCTCTACAAACTATTTGAATGTAAGCTGCCACTGAGATGGTTTTATCACAGTGGTTTGCAGTGTTTGCATTCATAAAGAGAAGAATGTCACATAGGAAAACCAAGGTAATATTTTCAGAGAAGACCTAAATATGTGTTTGTTTTGTTGAAAAAAGACAGTGAACAAAAAACCTAAAATTCCCTATTAAATCTGTGTCTTTTCTAACTAAAATGATTTTTCAGATTTAATTGCTGAGACTGAAATATGTGCTATTTCAATTTTACAGCATCTTTCTGCAAAAGATTCCTTGCATCCATCTGAAGAGAAAGTGGGTGCTTTCACAAGGATAATAGAAGCAATGGGGTTCACAGGACCACTCAAGTACAGCAGATGGGTAAAGCAGTCATTTAATAATTCTTTTGGTTGTTTGATTGTTCTAAAAAGCAGACAAAAAAATCCGCACATTTTTTTCTTGTGATAGGAATAGTACTTAGTGGAAAATTGTTAATTACCCATGTAAATACCTGTTTTCTGATGTAAGGAATAATAATCCGTAGCTTGAACCTCTCTTGATCTGTCCACTGCCATCATTGACACAGGTACCAGTATTGCTTTTGGTTTGTGTGGTCTAAAGCCTTCTTGAATTTCTTCAAATATTTGATTTTTTCATTTCATTTGTGCACCAAAACCCACAGTAACAGCCTTACTGTGCAAGTCAAACACCCACGTAGTCCATCATCTTATCCCTAATAATGACCAATTGCTGTAAATTGGGAAGGATTCGATTACAGGTAAAGCACATTGTGATATTTGTCTCATGTGCTCCTTCAGCTTCCACCAGTTTCAGGACTTCCTGCATGAAAACAGACATTTTTGGTATAGTATTTATTGAGTTTTTTCTTCTGTAAATTGGTCCAGTTGCACTTGGAACTCTTGTTTGTAGCTTCCATAGCATTCAGTATCAGGGATTTCCATAGCCTGAGGCACCACTGGGGGAAGAAGTACAGGTGGTTTTAGTTGATGCCTTTTAATTTTGTAATTAAAAAAAAAAAAGGTGATTATTCTGCCTTCCACTGATGATTTTATAGGCCTGTATATTATATAATATCTACACCTTTCCCTGCAGTGAGGAGGCTGGGTCTAACTTGCTTCTTTTACTGAGGCTCTTCCATGGTTTGATTTTTGTTGCCCTTCTCTGAGCCTCTCCCAGGGTTCTGTATTTCTGGGGCTGGAGGGTCTCCCAGGCAGTCAGGAGGGAGATATGGTGTGTTGCTGTTCAAGGCACTGCTCAGTGGTAGTTGACCAGGTCAAAGTCACAAATAGATCCTTCCCTTTATCCTTTTCGTTTTAAATAGCCCTTTCATAAAGCAGGTGTTAACACTGACTAAGTGAGAGCAGTTCAGTAAGAAACACCTTCACTTCCTTAGGCAGAAGGAAAAACATGAAATTCATAATTTCTTTTCTCTGAACTGGAAGAGAGTATAAAAGAGTGAGAGGAAAAGGCAGCTTGAAGGAAGGGCTGAGCCCAATTGTGTTGGAATTAAAATCAGTTCTTCGAATAGAAAAAAATTAAAAATAATAAAAATGTTAAGGTGCTTTGAGTATCTGCAAGGCAGAGTGCACCTCCTCTGAGACTGGTCTGAAACTGTTGCTGATTGCATCTTGCTCCTCAGACAGTGTAAAGCAAAGATAACTGACCCATAAGAGGCTTAGGTATTTTGGTTTAAATCAGTTGCTTTAATCAGGTGATGCTAAACCTCATGAGAGTGTAGTTTCTCTCCCATGTGCTTGTGTACATATTGTTGTAATAAAGATTCTTATTAGCTCTAAGTGTTGATTCAGAGTTCTCCTTAATTGCTGCTCTTTACTGCCTGCTTTTGGCTGGGGAACCTGGGTTGGGAGAGAGTTATTTTGTGGTTAGGCCCCAAGAGACCTGAGTTCATTTTTGGCCTTGCCAGTGCTCTCTAGGAGATCTTTGGGAAGTTTCTTCATATTTCTCTGCTTTTTTTCCATTTTCTTCTCCCTTCCCCCACACCTCTTCTACACCCTAAAACTTCCATGATTAAATTTCATCAGTTCCTCCTTTGTTACCTGCCTTATTTGAGGGCTGGATTGTGGGGACTGTTCTTTGCAATATGTTTTTAATGTCTAGTAATGCCTGCTCTGGGGCAGTGGCTCTCACCAGGGACATCTCTGCTCCCAGGCCAGGCAGTGTTTCCTTTAAAAGGGAAACCTTCAGAACTCCTGTAAGCAGTGTAAATTATTTTACTTCAAGAAGTTTAGATGTAGGTTTGATTTCTGACAGAAGCCTAAGATTACTGAGTCAGAAAAATAATGGGCTCCTGTGTTTCCTCAGCAATCAGTTGCAACTTCTTTATTTTCCTTTTGGCTGTAGGAGACACAAATAATTACTGTGGTGATTTGAACTGCCATTTAACAGGCAGAGTGCTCATCCCTGTAATATAGTGAGCACTGAGAGGGTCCCCAGTATATGTCACTAAAAACAAAAAAGACATAAACCAAACCAAAGCAACCCAAAGCCAAGGCCACTTCCTAGGCCAAGGCCAAGGCTTAGGCAGGGGAGTGGGTTGTGGAGTTTTCAAATTTTTCTTAATTTTTCTTCCCCCAATATTAGCAAACAGGAATGGCTGACAGCTCCTTAAGATCTTTGCTATTAGTTATTGTGACCTTTGAAGTTTCAGCACATGTGTCTGTGTTCTGGAGGATGCACTGGAGGTGTTTTGGGTGCAGTGGCAGGCCAGAAACAAAATGAGAAGTGCCAAAGCACCTGGGAATACCTCATGTCATTTATCATTTGGGATTCCTCTCTCGCTCTCCAAGCTTAGTCAATCAAGTTTCATTTTTCTAGGAAAAATCTATTATTTTTAGGACATTTTATTTTAGGACGTTATTTACTATTTTTAGGGCATGTCTGGCATGTGACTTCTTTAATATTTAAAACTTAAATTATACAAAACACTCTCAGTGGTGTACATCACTTAGAGTTATTAGAGAAAACCAGGAATTGTGAATTGGACTCTTTTTCTGTTATTATATCAAGTGTTGTATCCAGCTAGATTTGGAAGGATATTCAAGAAGCCATTTAATAACTTTTTCCCCTCGAGGCAAGATTCATTATACTGGCATAGTTTAAAGTGCTCCCATAAATCCCAAGTGATTGTGATGATCTAAAGAAGTGTTTTCAGCAAGGGGCAGCGCATTTACCAGCTGCAGCAGGTCCAGGAGCTCTCGGGAACGAAGAGTTCAAGTGTTGCCTTTCCTTTTGCCGTAGAAGATCAAGGTGGCGGCGCTGCGCATGTACACGTGCTGCGTGGAGAAAACCGACTACGAGGAGTTCTTTAGCAGTAAGTAATGGACTGGGGGTTGTGGATGGGGCTGCTGGGACAGCTCGTGGTGGAACTGTGCCGTTAGATGAACTGATACCAACAAACGTGACAGCAAAAAGACTGACTTGTCAGACGCTGCCAGCGCGTGGTCAGCTGGGAGCTCACAGTGCTGCAGTGTTCCCTTAAGCTCTGCAGTGAGGAGGGCAGCCTCTGGAGTCTGGGATTGTTAATTTTACCTGCTGCAGTGGGGATGGGTAAAATTCAGAATATCATGGACTTTGAAAGATATTGCCTTTTTTATTACCAGGTGTGGCATAAACTAAGAATTCAAATATCTCTTCCCTTTTTACGCTGGTCAGATGGTCTCTGTGCCCTATGTGGTGCCATCCCCAACATAACTGGGACACAGCTATGAGAACCATCCCCATCCTCTGAGGCACAACTTTTTTATGGTATGAGATCATAGGGTCCTACCTGTCTCTCTCCCTCGTGGTTGGGCCAGGTTTGGCTACAACTTAGAGACTCCCTATATTTTTACTGACCATGACCAGGACACATCTCTTGCCTGAGCAGAGAGTATGACTAGAACAGAGACACAAGGCCCTCCTATAAGTATATAGGCATAATATTGGCTTGGATTGGGTTGGCTTTTCCATGCTATACACAACTATTAGCTAAAAATCTGTTGCTGCTTTGAGTGGTATCAAATCTGGCTGGTGAAGGGAAAAGATGTGTTTTTGAGACTTACATAAGCTTCAGTAATATTTTTTCTTGTGTGCATTATTTCCTATGTTAATGTGATTTAGCTGTAGTAAATCCATTACCTGGATCTGGCCTGTCACTGGGATTCCTGAGCTACCAAGTACTTAGAGCACAGGTTGGGCTGCTGCCTCTTGAGAGATCAGCTGAAGGGACACCTTCATCCAGTGCAGAGCTTATTGAGGGTGGTTTGTTACGTGGTGTTGCTACTCCAAGATTTTCCAGTGGCTTCCAGAAGGTTTTCCAAACCTGTGATGTGGTTTCAGCGGTTGCAGGAGTGAGAGGACTCTGTGAGCAGTAGGATTCACCACTAGTGATCAGAAACTGAGAACCTCCTTTTCCCCGTGCACACCCCTCTCCCCAGCTCTGTGCCCCCCAGGCTTGCTCAGATAAGTTCTCTTCTGTCTGTGGTATTTATCTCTCAGACAGGGGCTTTCCTGTTTTTAACTGGTGTTTCACCATCTCTGTTTAATTGTACAAAGATACATAAATGTTGTCCTTGATAAAATTTAAAGGACTATCAAAGCATGTCTGTGAAAAAGATACTGGCACAGATTTTCAGACTCAGTATTGAGTAAAATCACTTCAGCTGTGTTTTTAATTTTGTCTTACTGTTTTAAAAAGAAAACATGTATTTTAAATGGTAACATATATTTGCATTGACTTGAGACAGTTGCTGCTAAGGATCAAGACAGTTTGCTGGGATTGATGGAGTGCACTGGTGGTGTAAGAACACCTGTGGTGCTGGGGTCAGTGCTTGTGGTTCCAGAGAAATTGCTCACCGTGTCTTCATCAAACTGGGTCAGTCAAGAGCTGGTTTTTTCCTTTTTTCAACTACAGATGGACATTGCTTAAGCTCATTGTTCCCTCCTGAAGGAGCAGCCTGGGGGATGAGTAGGAACAGAAACTACTAACTCTGAGCTCTCTCCCCTGGTGCTGCAGCAAGCCCGGGTGTGCCCGAGCTTGTGGGGAGGGTGTTGCAGCCCCTCCTGATGCCGAGCACGGCTGGGGAGCCCCGAGGGCAGGATGGTGCTGCTGGGCCAACGCCTGTGCTGTGCTTGTGCTCTGCTGCCCCCAGCACTCCTGGCTCTACTTGCAGGGTGTTGATATCCAAGTGAACTGCACAGAGGCAGCTCTGCTCTCCGGAGAGCTTATTAGCTCTTTCTCTGCTGTGTGTGAGCGCTGTGAACCCGCTGAGCTGACCCTGGAAACCTGCAGCCATCCGTGTGTGAAACCACTGGTGGGCTCGTTAACCCCGAGTGAGCAGAACCAGTTCTTCACAGAGCCTTCTCCAGTGCTCCTGGACGTGCTTTTGTGGTGTGCTGGTGTTGTGGCAGGAATAGCAGCTGCACTGTGACCCTATGGAACGTGGACTGGTGTGTGGAATTTGTCAAGTAGTGCTCTGACAGAGGTGACAGAGGGTGAAGAGTGGATAGTGTGAGGACTAGGACAATGTCTTATGGGCTCTCTTCCTATCTCACTGTGTTTCTGCTGATGCACGCTGGAATTTCCAACTCTCTGTGGCACAGTGTGAGCCCTGTGAACTGCCTGTCTCTGTATATGCCTTAGAACAGCAGTTCCCAAAATACAGACTATGGATATGCAAGTCATAAGGCTGCTTTAGAGTATAAAGGAGGTGTTTTAATTGAGACTCTCAGTATGGTACTGCACTTAATTTTATTATACCTGCCATTCCATTGTCTCTTGGTTTTGGATCATTCACGGAGAAAACGTGGGAACTCTACTTTAGAGCTTGTATCCCAAATGTCTGTACTGTGCTGCTTGTGTGGAAAGTGGAGCTGTTTTAGGACTTCAGCTGTTTCTTGTTTAAAGGAGAAGAGAGAACCAATAGAGGGAATAGCAAAGTTCCTGGTGCCAGGCTTGGCAGAGAGCTTGGGGAGTTCTAGTGAACTGGAGGAGGCAGCCTGTGAGCAGAGAGCTTCATGCCTGACCTCAGACTTGAAAGGTCAGAAGAGCTTCTAGGATCAGGCAGGTGTTACCCAGAGCTGAACTGGAGTTTGGCTGATGAACATGGACTGTAGAGTTACCTTGAATTCATCTTCAACTATTAATACTGTTAACTACTCTCCTGTCAGGCAGCTGCAGCAGCAGGGAGCTGACCCTACCAAAACAGCCTTTTGATGACTCCTAGTGGGACTCAAAGCAGCTCCAAAGGGCTGAAGGTTAGAAAACTCTGCATTCTTGTGTCTCCCGTAGCCCATCAGCTGCCTGTCACACTCAGGGGAGCACTGACACAGTGCTCCTGTTCTCTTGCAGGATGTGGGGATATTATCCCAGGGTGTCCTTTCTAAAATTGTGGGAGTGGCAAAGATGATCTGTCATGAAAAAGTCCATGGTCCAGTTTTGCATCCCTTACCTGATGAATTTTAAGTGCAGGACATAACTGCAGGAAAACATATGTCCTCATAATCCTGAGCATTCATGTCTCTTGTAGTACCAGCCATGTGACCAGGATGTGTTCTGTGCACAGAACAGGTTTGTTCCCCAGCTGTTATCACAGTAATTTCATAGGTAGCTTTACCAGCAGACATTTTTTCTAGATCTAGTCCTATTCTGAGGGGAATAATTTTCCGTTTCATTGTAGGATGGAGCTTTCTCCCCAGTTAGTTTCCCAGAGTAAGGTGTTCCAACCCCCTGAATTTTAGAATTTGATTCTTTCTACAAAGCTGATAGCTGAGAGCAAGCTTGTTGCTTTAAAGGAGCCACCCCTCCTTTAAATTTACGATGTAGACAGTCCTAATATAGAAGCTAAAAAATGATTTATAAAAATAGAATTGCAACACTTGGAAAGTTAGAGAAAAAAAATCTTCCCTCCTGGGTACTGAATAGGTCTTTACAAACTTTCCATGTTTCCAGGGGTAGAGGTGTGAGCTTTGCTTTCCACTGCAGAGTGATTTCTGTGGTGGGGGACTGATCCATGGGAACTCCTCCTTGAGAAACCTCTGTCTGAACTGGGTGTTTGACTCCTGCCTGTGGAACCTCCGTTGGCTGAAATGGTTTGGTTAATGCAGGCATTGTGTGCTCCTGCCCTAGTTAGAGATGCCTTGGCGTGGCTTTTGGTCAAAGTAGTCGTTTCTAGGCACAGGAACTATTTCTAATAGGAATGAGAGAGCCAAAAGGGGAGAAGGGTGAGGGAGATTTGTGTTTAATCTCCAAACACAGACTGTTAGTGTCTTTGTACTGTCTTAGAGGTGATGTATGGGCACTGATGCTGAAGCTTGGCACCTCCTAGGACTGATGGAGTCATCTCTCTGGGGAGGGAGGAATAGTCATGATTTGTTTGGTTCTTCTGGTGGTTGCCTGACCAGAGTTGGCAAATATAAAGAAAGAGGCTGTGAAAGTATTGCTTCGTGATCCAGGTGAATCTCCTTGGTAATACTTAAGAGCCAGGAAGTATAGGAGTTAGGAAGGAATATATTAAACACAGGGAAGATAAGGTTGACTTCCTTGGGACACATCTGACTGGAGAGCCTGTTCCTGAATGCTCTCTGGGCCTCTTCCAGCTCGGTTTGAGCAGCCCAGAAGACAAGGCCAAGTGCTGGGTAGGCCAAGACGACTGTGTCAGATCCTTCTCATTAGGTACTTCCCTTAAAAACTTCTCCAGGAAACAGATGTAGAGGTGAGTGCCTGGGGGGGAGGTTTAGGATTGACAGGAACTGAAGGACTTAGTGTGCACAGAAACCATAGGTCCATTTTTTTCAAGCATGAGGAAGAGGACTATGGTTTCTGTGCCACACAGCCTAAATCTCCAGCCTCACCCCCTAAGGGCACGTGGAGATCCATCGTGTGAGCACACATATGGACAAACCAGCTCTGGGAAAAACAGTGGCTGTGGGAGTAGAGCTAAACCTGCAAACAGATTGTTTGTGTGGTTGGTCAGTGGTTTTAATCCAAATGTAGCCTGACAGGTACGCTCAGAGTGCTGGGGGCTGTGCTGGAGTAAATCAGGGCAGATTTACTGATTTACAGATTTACAGATTTACCCTGACAGTGGAATCAGAGACACAGAACTCTGTCCCTGGCAGGAGAGAGCAGCAAATACAAAGGAAGAGTGTAAGAACAGAGCAAAGCATCCATTGATTCCTCCCTGTTATTCATTCCTGCTTTGGGACTTTGTGACCTAGAAGCCACATGTTTGTCTCCTTCTCCATTTTTTAATTCCCCCCCCCGTAAATGTTATCCAAGTGAGCCCCAAACACCTGAAACCTTTCAGAATCTACAGCGTCCTGTGGGTGCATGTTCTAGAGTTTGAGCACAAACATGACAGTAAATGATATTTCCTCCAATGTATATGTACTGTTATTACTGAAAAAAATTACCAAAGTGCATTTAGGTTTTTGTGTAGTGGATTTCTGTTAGGGACAAAATGTGATGGAGTTTATATTAATACTTAGTTTTGTTTTTGTGTTTTCCCCCCTTCTCATCAAGGGTGCCAAATGCCTGATACTTTGAATTCATGGTTCCTAGTAGCCCAGCTTCATGTCTGGTAAGTGAAAATCAAATTAGTAATATAATTATTTTCAGGAATAGAGTGATATGTATGCATCTTAATGTGAGGAAAAAGTAGGCTCTGTGCTTGTTGATAATAGAGGATTTATTCATTTTACTGATGACTGAACTACAGCACTTTTCTACTGAAGAACAAAAAGTCCCATAGAGAACCTGACATCTCTTACATCTTAAAATTCCTCACTAGTGGAATGATCTTTGCCATGAGTTTTCTAAAAGCCTTTCTCAGGCTGTGTGGAAAAATCTTACTTGGGTGTTTTAGGAAAAGTTTAAATTTATGTAAAAGTCTTTTAAATTGGGAGAATTTGTGGTGATGAGAAGCATTTAACAAATTATAGCACTGGCATTTACTCTTGCGCCTCTGAAAGGCACATGCAGGGGGGTGAATGCCAGCTTGGCTGCATGTAAAAATATCTGACACCTTAAACATGAATTTTTTCCCCCTTTTTCGTTTGTGAAAGTAGTAGCCAAAAAAATCAGGTTTTCATCTAGCATTACACACTTGTAAAGGTCAGGGGATGCACAAGGGAGTACAGTCATTTTTGTAAGTGCCAGATCTTTCAGGGAACTGAAGTCCATAGACTTGGGGTTCAGCTGTCCAAAGGCTGAAAGGAAGTTTGTACTGAAATAGCTGCACTTAAGGCCCCTTATTTCCTTGCCTCCTCCTTTTCCCCTTCCCTCCTTTTAATTTCCTGTCTCCTCAATATATTGAAAGATGGGGCAGCTCATTACACTGAAGAGTGAACAAATTAGCAGAACCATTGAAATCAGTGAATGAAATCAGTGGAATCAAGGAAGGAAGACCCTTGAGATTTGCAGTTTATTTATTTCCTACTCTTCCCTGTGGGAAAAAGGCTTTAAAAATTAATTGATAAGCTAATAATTCATATAGATATTTGGAAAACTAGTGCAATAAATATTGAAAAGCAAACTGTAAGTGTCTGGGGAAAAACAAAAAGAGGTAAGATGAATCTGCTAAGAACACACTTTTTCACATCATCTTTGTTTCTCATTGACGGGAAAATATATCCTGTGATTGATACACAGTATGAAATTCAAGATTAATAATAAAAATAAACAAGGGAACTATGATAGAGATGAAATTGGTATAGGATAGGCACAAATTTCTAAGATCAAAGTGCTACGTAGGCTTCTTTTGAAGAAAGCCAAGAGTTGCCAGGCTTTGAGCTGGTGATGTTAAGGAGAGATTGACTGAGGAGAATTGAAGTTCTCTTATGTGTAGGATACAGTGGGCAGGTTGACAGCAGTATCCTACACAGGCAGGATAGAACCAAATCCCTCTGCCTCATGTGACAGCAGTGAGAACTCGAGTGTGGAGGGCAGCACTGAAGGTTAATTTTTCCAGGGTGTGTGAGTCTGGCTCCTTTGTGTTCCTGGTGGCTTGACCTAAGGAGCAGTGTCATTCTGGACCTCAGATGGGAGATCCAGTTTGATATTCCAGGACACAGAAGCCTGTGACAGGCCTGCTCACTACCTGGGTCATTGGGAAATGCTGCAGGCTTTGCTTCTGCTGAGCTCAGTGACCAGCATCCTACCATGGCATGGTTTGCTTTCCCAGGCAGGTTTATTGCCCTGCTCTCTGGGATTCTCTTTCTTTAAGCAGTTTGACCTCAGTAAGGTAGGAGTGGAACATTATCGCTTTTGCTGGCTCTGGCAGGGTCAAGGACATCCCACCCTGTCTGAAGGCTCCCATCCTGTCTCTCTTGCTGGACCATTTGCCTCAGAGGCTTGAAACCTTCCTGAGCTGGTGGCCAATGATGTGCCACAGAGATCATGATCGTGATCTGCTCCCCCTTGCAGAGCAATCTGCAAGCAATCTCTGATGTACTGACTTCTTCCCTCTTATTCAGGGTTTTGGTTTCCACTGATTTACAGTGTCTTCTGGACCTGGAGAAGGTGAGAATTTTTCCTAGTTTGGTAAACTTTGCCTCCTTTCTTGCTGTTGTCATTTCCCAGCCTGTTCTAGTCAATTTTTCTGTGCCCTTTGTGTCCCAGTTTTTATGGACTTAAGGTGCTTGTCAGGCATAACTTCTTATGTTACAGATTCTTGTGGGTCCTCTTTGAGTCTCCGGCTCTTATTTCTTCCTGTCTGGTGAATAGGATTTTTCTACTTACCTCCAGTCAGAAAGGGAGGAATTCAGGCTCTCGTGTTTAGCTTCTGCTTTTGCAAACTTCTTTCAAGATAATGTTCCTTTAGAAACACTTCAGTGCCTTCCAAGGCAGTGCTAAAATCATGCTTTAAAAAAAATCAACCCGCAGATATTATTTAGAAAACCAACCTATCATTATGCTTTCCTAGATGTAATGTTTTTATAGGCTGTTTCTGTTACTTCACACCTTTGATGTCAGGGGGACTCCTGGCTTTATGTTTGGAAGTTCAGACCTTTAGAAAATCTCAAGCTGTTCATCTCCACTGCTGGTTTGCATTTTCCCATGCAGTGTGAGTGGAGTATTGGCAGAGTCCAGAGCTGTTACCAAACTGCCAAAGAAATTACTTGGGTGGCTGCTAAGAAGTGCCTTGCTTCAATAGTTATCATGCAGATACCTAGAGCTGCCTTCATATTTTCACCAGACCAGGAATGGTGACATCCCTGAAGTATTTAGGATCAAAATAGTCGTGCTGCAATTCCTGTTCTGAAAGGATCAAAGACCTGTTGCAAAAGTTCATCTAAGCATTGTTTTTCTTAAGGAAATCTGCACTTAGCAAGGTTTTGATCAGCCTGAGAAAGTCCAGATGAGAACAAGAACCACTAAATATGTAGAAAACAATTCCTGCAGGAAAAGATTCCTCTGATTTGCATATAGAAGCCTGAGGACACTGTTTTCTTTTGAAATGTGCTGCTTCAGAAGAAAGGGAACAGACTCAGTTTCATGGTAGAGGGCTTTAATTGCATCGGAATAGTTTTGCTTGAGAGAGATTTTAGGAATAAGTTTATTTGGAATGTCTCAGGCATTTAGTTGGTCCTGCCTTAACATGAGGGAGTGGGCTACCATGGCCTAAGCAAAGACCCCAGGGGAGAGGAGGCTGCACAGCCAGGCTGGGTTCTGTCAGCTGGTCCCAGCAGAGCCCTGTCCATGCTGGAGGTACAGCAATGGGTGACCAGGCTGGGGCACAGGAGAACATGCAAAACCTCCTTGGGGTGACTTCAGAACTCGTTGTCACAATTCACTGCAGTGCAATGTCACAGCAGAACTGGGGCAAAGTCTGTTCGGGAGCTTCCTGCTGTCCCCCGAGCTGGTGGCTGTCCATGAGTGGGTTAAACAGAATAAAGCCCTCCAAAACTGCTGTTGATACTTGTGTTGTTAAGCCCGGGGAGTTTCTCTGAACAACAGTAAAGTAGCTCCAGAAGCAGTTGCTCTGGAGCAACTGAGGAAGCAGGAATGAGTGGCCAGGTGCAGGGGACAGCGGGAAGCTTTGCCCTTAATGGATCATCTCACCCCAGTGCATGGCACAGGGCAGTCATCAGGGTGGTGCCAACCCTCACTTCTGGTGTTCAAGCCAGTCTGGCACACTGGGAGTACAGAAGCAGCTGTAGCTGAGGCTGTTGTGGGAAATCTCAACATCTCAGCTGAGATGGGTCGGGTTACAGATGCTCCTGTTCCTTTTCAGTCATCCTTTCATGTCATTTTCTTCTAGCATAATCGCTCTGCATAACTTGAATAAAGCAAAAATTATCCAACCCAAGCAGTGTGAGGTAGACAGCTTTCTAAAGATAGTTTGGAGTAATTTTGCTTTCATGGTTTGATGAAGATGAGCCAGTATTTGACTAAACTACAGCACAGATTCTGTAGTGAAACAATAAAATGTTTCACACCGTGGTGATCTAGTTAGGAGGTTTATAGGCTTTAAAGAGTCTGTGTCTTTTAAACCTCAGACAGCAGGTGAAGTAACAAACTACCAAACTTTCAAATAAACTGCAAAATTCCATGATCTCACTCGTGGTGCTGCAGAACAGCTCTGTGACAGCACTGCATCCAAACACAGAGCTGCCTTTTAGGCTCCATGAGTAGCAGGTTTTCCTCTGAACACCACTCCAGTCCTGCTCATCACTGACCAGTTGTTGGCTGTTGGTCTGTCACCACCCTCTCCTCCTGCCTCTCCACCACTAAAGGCACACAGGGTAGGAACCACTATTTGTGCCTGGGAGGAGGTTTTCTTGCCAAGCCACTCTTTTTTTTTTATTTTTCTTTTTTTTCACCCCTGAGTTTGTGTATTCAGCAAGAGAAGTATAAAAATGCTTTTTTAGCCCAAAATTTGTCCTTTAAACTGAGTCTTTTTACTTAAGAGTGTGTAAAATTTTTGGATTCAGTAACTCTTACCAATTCACTTTTTTGTACAGCTCAATTATGTAAATGCACAAAAAGAACAAAGGTTTTCAAACGGGTGGAAGTAAAACAAAAGTTTTACGCTCTTTGTGCATTTGTTTTGTGGAAGGGCTGGTACCTGGACAGTTGTTCTCTGACCACTGTTTGAGCACTAAGCTTTGTCATCTTTCTGTGAACAAGTGAGGGTTTGGTTTTGATACCATCTTAATTGCATTTGTTTGCTGGACAGTGGTGCTGTTGGACAGACACCGAGTTGTCACTGCCATATTGTAACCCTTGGGAATCCTTACACAGCTCTGGTTCCTGAGACAGAAACTGCCACATTCTTCCCAGTGTTCCCTTGTCTGACTGCCCTTGCCCTTCTCCTCCTGTCGTCTCCCTGGAATCTCTCAGTCCCTCCACCTTGGAGGTCTCCTTGCCATGCCTCAGTCCCTCTCTCCAGTCTCAGACCTCATTGCACCTGCTGGTGTTGGAGCTTGAGCTGTCTCTCGTAGAGCCAGTGTCGTTTTGAGAAGCTCTGCATCTAGACATCAAATTCTGGTCTGTGGGCTTTTCTTCCTTCAGTGTTATGTTTCAGTTCAATGGCCTTTATATGGGACTTGAAAGTCTGGTTCTGACCAGAAAGAAGAATATGGGACTGAAGTTTTTGCTGCCTTCTGTTTCATTTGTCTATGTGACTATCACTTGCAATAAGTTTTGCTTCTTTTGCAAGGTAATGTCTTTACTAGTCAGTAGACAAGAAAATCCATTGTAAAGATTTTCATCTGTCCTTTTACAGGGCACACTTCAGGTGTTTATGATTCTCCCTGTTGAGTTGGCATTCACAGGTCACCAAATTCTTTTAATGCCTGTGGATCTTATATACACTAAAGAAACAAATCTATTAAAAAAAGATAATTTTTACCTCTCAGCTCTTGTGGCACATTCACTATTGTTAATGTGCACCAGCTTCCCAGCGCCCCCAGCTCTGCTGGTTTTACATGAGCTGTAAGAAGAAATCACCTGCGAGCAGCTTCCCACTTGTAGCATGTCTGTGAAGAGCAATGACTTCTCTCAGCTCCAGCGTTTGAGCATCATCTCATCTACAGTCACTCAGTCAATCCTGGGCAGGCACTTGTGCCTCAGCACAGGAGCAGAGCTGGTTTATGAGGCAGAGAGGATGGGACAGGTGATGGGACTCCTCAGTGAGGGATCAGCCTGGGCTTCAGTTCGTGCTCTTTGCAGATGTTGTAAAAAAGGCAAAATAAAATGTTTGTTCATGTGATTTATTTTGTAGGCAGAACAGCAGCAATGAAGTTTGAGTGGCTTTAATGCTTTTAAACAAAAGTAAAACAACTCAACCTGATATTCTCATTAAGATCCCACAATGCACTTTCAGACCTCTGAGTTGGTCTCACATGTGCTGCGTGTGGGGGTTTTGCCAGGTGGTTGGACACGTATCCAAAGACCCCTGTAGTTGAAATAATTTAGGACATTGCTAATGTGAATTTGGTTGAAGCCTGTAACTTGCTTAAGGTTTCCCAGCTTGGCTGGTTGGGGCTCTTACGGCACTTCAGTGCATCAAGCTGAGCTGCAGCTGGCTCAGAGCCTGGGATTAGCCAAGCCATGTGTTCCTGCTCCGAAGGGTGAGATGTTCTTAAGGCTGAGGAATTCAGGTTACAGTAGTGTTGAACTAGATTACAATGCTGACAAGAAGAATAGAGCCCACTAGCACTCTTCCATGGCTGCACTGGCCAAAATCCAGCAGATACGGCTCCTGAGTGGAGAATAGAAGAGTTTATTTAAAAAAAAAAAAAAATCTCCTCGTGTGTTTTTTTTTCCTGACCACAAACATATACTGCGAGGAAAATCTTAAATGAGCTGAAGTATATGTCATTTATTCTTTCCTTCTGAAAGAAGCCGTGGGAGCTCTGACTGTGGGGTGTGTCCTTGCAGGATGTGTCTGGTGCGGATGAAGCAGGAGGGCCGCACGGGCAAGTACATGTGTCGCTACATCGTCCACTGCATGTGGGAGGATGTTGAGCAGCGTGGTAAGGTCATGGGGGTAAGTTCTCTCTGGTGGTGGTAATCCTGATGATTCCCGTCTTTCAATGCTTTTGTGACTTTGCATTTCTTAGAAGAATGCCTGAGAATCAACCTGCAGCTGCTCCTTTATTTCTTTATTGGCTTAAGCTGGTGCATGCAGCCCTCATTCCTGACCATTCATTCCCTCTATTGAGCCACTGAGGTTGTTTCTGAAAGTGCATCATGGCCTGGATGAAGATATTGATTTGGTTTAAATGAAGGAATTTCCCACATGTTTTGCCATGTGACTGCAGAAATGGGTTTTGCTATTGATGGGATATGTTATTGACCTGGATAAGGGCACTGAGTCCACCATCAGCAAATTTGCAGATGACACCAAGTTGGGGGGGAGTGTTGATCTGTTGAAGGCAAGAGGGCTCTGCAGAGGGACCTGGACAGGCTGGATCCGTGGGCTGATTCCAAGGGGATGAGGTTCAACCAGGCCAAGGGCTGGGTCCTGCACTTTGGCCACAACAACCCCCGGCAGCCCCCTGGGCTGGGGACAGAGTGGCTGGAGAGCAGCCAGGCAGGAAGGGAGCTGGGAGTGGGGATGGACAGGGAGCTGAACAGGAGCCAGAGTGTGCCCAGGGGGACAAGAGGGCCAATGGATCCTGGCCTGGCTCAGGAACAGTGTGGCAGCAGGAGCAGGGCAGGGATTCTGCCCCTGGACTCAGCGCTGGTGAGGCCACCCCTGGAGTGCTGTGTCCAGCTCTGGGCCCTCAGCTCAGGAAGGACATGGAGGGGCTGGAGCAGGGCCAGGGAAGAGCAGCGAGGCTGGGGAAGGGACTGGAGCACAAGTGCTGTGAGGAGAGGCTGAGGGAGCTGGGGGGGCTCAGCCTGGAGAGGAGAAGGCTCAGGGGAGACCTCCTGACTCTGCAACTCCCTGACAGGAGGGGGGAGCCAGGTGGGGGTCGGGCTCTGCTCCCAGGAACCAGCAGTAGGACAAGAGGGCACAGCTTGAGCTGTGCCAGGGGAGGTTTAGGTTGGATATTAGGAAGAAACTTTTTCCAGAGAGAGTGATCGGACACTGGAATGGGCTGCCCAGGGAAGTGATGGAATCACCACCCTCCATCCCTGGAGGTGTTTAAGGTGAGACTGGATGTGGCATCAGTGCCATGGTCTGGGAACCACGGCGGGGTTGGATCAAGGGTTGGACTTGATGATCTCAGAGGTCTTTTCCAACCTGGCTGATTCCATGATTCTGTGATTCTCTGCTGTAACAGAAGGGGCGTTTGGGGATAGGAATGAGCAGCTGGAGTGGGGAGAAATATGACTGGTGCCAAATTGATAACCACAACTTCAGTAATTCCAGCAGAGTTTTGAGTTTTCTCTGTATCTAAAATGGTAAAAGGAAAGTTAATCAACAAAGTTTTTATGTCATGTTCCTGTACATGACTAGAACTAGTCATAAGTATATTTTTCGTTTTATATTCTCAGTATACCTGGTCTTTATCACAAAAGAAACGTTCTAAGGAGAGAGTAGCTGCAAGGAGAGTTCATTTGCAAGTTTGAAGGAAGAGCAAGGTTGAATCTTTCTGGCCTGTTCTGAGGAAGGTTATGATAGTTAGTTGGAATGGTCATTTCTGGCCTTGAAGTCCTGTGTTGGTGATTGCCTTGAGAGAAGGCAGTGCAGAAGCAGTGGCAGTGACAGCAGACCTGATACAGGTGAGGCTGCCAACGTTGAGGGCACTTCTGTGGGAGGACAGGGCTGGGAGAGGTCTGCTGTGTTATGGAAGAGGAAAAGAACTGCTCAGTGATTAAATAGAGGTTTGTCTGTGATTAAAATAAATTAGGCTGTTAGAGAAGTGACAGTTTCCATGTAGCAGTAATGACATAGTGTCAAGCCATAGTTGTCAGCTCTCTTGGAGAGGCTGCCAGGGTAACTGGTGAGTTAGGATTTGAGATGCAATCACATTAGTAATTCAGGAAGTGTCTCTCTGATCGTTTATTTTGTATGTTGTTTTAGAAAGTGTTGGTTCCGGTGTAACTTCAGTTATCCCATCAGCAGCAGGGTTTTTTCCTAGTTGTTGGGAATTCCGTAGCTTTGCTTTGTTACATGTTGCATTTAAAGACAAGACATCCTCTTAATCTTCTTTTGGATTAAATCTATCAATTCATGCATCTGAGAATTTCTTGCTATGTTAATGTGCTTACATAAATTCCACAGTGGGAATCTCCTCTTTCTGATAAGGCAATGTGAGTGAGCCAAGACAAATCAGATGATGGCACCAGGGGAAAAGACTGGATGAAGTAGCTTATGCATTTTTGTCCTTTTCCAATGCCTTCCATGTCATATCAGTGGCTGGTTCTGCTTCCTCTAGGAACCACACACAGCTCAGATCTTTGTTCTGGGTGTAAATTTAAGGTTGCTCTTCTTTTGTCTCTTCCTTTTGACCCTAATTTTACCTTATATGAGTGAACCTCAAATGCCATGTTGTAGTTTTCTGTGCAGGGTTGGATGCAGCAGAGAACAAAGAGAAGCAAAACTGGCTGTTTGCTGCCCTTACAGGCATTGCAAGTTACACCTGTATGGAGAGTTTTTCAGTAAAATTTAGGGGAAAAAGAGAGAGTGCTTACAGTCAGTTCTTTGTAAAGGGAAGTACAGTGTTTCCATTTCTCCAAACTAAATTATTCAATGGCTCCCCAAAACCCCCCAAAGTATAAAAAACCCCATCAGTGTCCCTGTGTTTTTACCCACTCTGGCCCCTCAGATGTTAACACATGAGTATTACAATGGTGTGGTTGCTGTATGATGGAACTGCAAGGAGCTCTGGAATTACTGCAATGCCATTCATTCCCTGCCCTGGCAGGTTGGGCATCTGGTCAGTTTATCCTTGAATTTAAATTTCACAGTCTCTTTGTCTGTAGGAATGATCCTGCAGTGGGAATCACAAGCCTGCTTATTTTGCAATACTGTGATTCCTCTGATACACTCCTGACTGTAGCCTGGTGCTAACACAGCTTTTATATGGCCATAGCAGATGCTCACATGAAGGACCTGCACATTTCAGGGCTTGATCTCCAAAGCAGTTACACCTTTGTGTTTATTTAGTATATTTAGGCATAGGGTTTTCATTAATCTTTAGTGATTTTTTTTTTCTTTCATCTTTTAGTTATTCCTGATCTTTCAGTCATTATTCATTAGTTAGTGCCCTGCGGAGACAGGCTGAGAAAGTTGTGTAAAGATCTCACAGCACCTTCCAGAATCTGAAAGGGCTGCAAGGAAGCTGGAGAGGGACTGTGCATGAGGAACTGTAGTGACAGGACAAGGGGGAAGGGCTTCAAACTGAAGGAGAGGAAATTTAGGTTAGATATATGGAAGAAATCCTTACCTGTGAGGGGGGTGAGGCCCTGGCACAGGTTGTCCAGAGAAGCTGTGGCTGCCCGTGGATCCCTGGAAGTGTCCAAGGCCAGGCTGGATGGGGCTTGGAGCAACCTGGAATAGTGGAAGGTGTCCCTGCCCATGGCAGGGGATTCAACATGACGGGCTTTAAAGTCCCTCCAACCCAAACCTTCTGTGATTCTGTGATTTTGTCAAGGCAAATTAATTTCTTCGTCTCTTCTGGTAGTATTTATTATACGTTAGGTGAAAATAATTTAGGCACTGGTGTTTCAGGATGTCAGCAGTTCCCTTGACCCTTATCATTGCTCTATTTTCCTTCCTCAGTGATCCTACCTTCATATCCCACTTCACCCATGCCCCTGCATGGGCAGGTCCTGTTTATTCCATGCTTGTTCACTTTTCTTCACTCACTTCTCTCCCCTTCCCATACCCATACCTGACTGAACACTTTCTCTCCTCTCACCTTTAGCAATTGCAAGGAGTTTTAAATGACTGATAAAGGGCACTTACCCCAGTGTTATGTTCTCTTTATTAATCTTGATCTGTTTATCACTAATAATTCTTTTAAACTGAAGTAGAGGGTTTGTGAGCTGATGGAGGGACACGTAACAACTACTTATTTTCAAGTAGTGTAGTCCTGCAATCAGTATATATTCTACCTCCAAAAGAAGGTAGTCAAATATATCAAGAATAGTAGATAAAAAGGTGTCATTAATGTTCTCTGTCGATGCTTTCAAACTCCAGAATCTGAGCCTTTCTCAGAAGTAATGTAAAGGAAAAGAAATTTTACTGGATACTTTTAGGGTGCTAAATTATCATCTGCATAGATCCTAGAAGGTTAGGAAATTCCATTCCCTGCTTTTTCTCTCATGCAATCTATCAAAAATCAAGATTTAATTCCAATTCCTGTACTGTGGTACAAATGACAGAGCACCTGTATGGAATTGCCAGTTGGATGCAATTAGTTTAACTTGCTGACAGACAGAGCTGCAGTTCTTCAGCTCCTTTCCATATCTAGCAACAATTCCAACCCTTGATGCAGAAAATGGACACTATATTCCTGAATTGATATCCATGGTTTTTTGAAATATGCCATCTGCTCTTAAATATACCGGTCCACTGGAGCCCAAAAGGGATAGAATGTAAAGCATTTTAACTGCTAATTTACATCAGCTCCAGCTCCAAATGGAGTTTGTATTATTTCAAAACCTGGTTGTTAAACTGCTGAGATCTAAATCTCAGCTACAAAGTTTTGGGACCTGTTAGGCTGAGCTCCTTCAGCACTCCTGAATGTCGGCGAGAGTCAGAAACCCAAACTTGACACAGCTGTAAAAACACAGGGAGAGCCTGTGGCCTCAGCAAATTCTACTGGTGCAGGCATATTTCAGATATAAATTTTACTCTGCTGTCCCTCGTACTAATGAAGTCAGTCTCTTTCGGTGGGTTTGCAGCCAGGTGTGTCCAGTTCTGTGGCTAACCAGTGCTCTTTACTTAATTTTTCCACTAGTGACATTTCTATCAAACTTTAAAAACAAACAGAAAAATTGGCTTGATGCAATGGCTCCAAGTGTTAATAGTAACATTAGGCTGGGTAAAAGACTTCCTTTGGATCCTGCTTTGCCAGAGATCTCCACCTC